AATGAAGTAGAGATGAAAGAATGCAATGCACCATTGAACCGGATTCTTAAGAATAAGGTGAAAAATGGGATACTCTTTTTCATTTCTCGCTCAGACCTAGCTAATGTAGTCATAAAGTGAGGTAATAAGCAACTTCTGATGGATTCACTGGAATTGCCTATCATCGTAGACTGCAGTAAGTCTTTATGACATGCAACCTGCAACTGCTTTTCTTGAAATGTCATTTCAATTCACACAGGTCCACAAATTCATTCGTGGGCAATCAAAGCCAGATTTAGCACTGCAAATGGGAGGCATTGGTCCTCTTGGAAATCAATTAGAATAGCACGACCACTGGTAAAAGCTGATACACTTTTCAAGGGGCTATAAATATAGGCATTTGGTACCAAGGCAACATCTGGTATCAACAAATCTGACTTTAACGTGTTGAGAATTCTACACTGTAACAAGAATTTCTGCTCCATCACCTTTGCTATCCGCAATAAAACAAAAACTGAAGAATGTCACTTGTGTTAACCCTACTGTGAAAGTATAAGGCTCTTGCCCTTGTGTGAATGTGATGGTGCACCAAAGATTATCAGTGGTTTCTGAGAAGGGTGGGTGAAATTTGTGATACATGAGTCCCACATGGTGAAGGTATGGTGGAGTAATGGAATTTGAACCTGCAAGCAGTGGGAGAGTCATGGAATGTGATCACTTCAAAACTCTGTGTAATAAAAATGGAAGTTGACTTCTTCAGTCACCAGAACCCAGTAGCTTTAATTAGAAGCAATTACAGTCACTGATTGTGATATAGAAAACACCAGTTTCTTTTTTGACACTCCACAAACTGAAATGAACTTGCCCTCATTAGACATTACAGAGGAAGAAAAAGAGCGCACTGTCTTGTTGATACAAGTCCATCTTAAAATTGAACAGGAAAGGACAGCTTTTAAAACAGTTTATCATCTCTTTCATGTCTTAATGACATGACGTTTATATTGCGGCTCTTATGAGTTGAGAGCAACCTAAAAAGCTTTGCAGGCAACGTACTACTTTTCAAGAGCAATCACTGTTGCCACGTAAGAAATATAACAGCTAGTTAGCACATTGCAAGATTTCACAACCAGTAACAGGATGATAACCGATTTTTAGAAGAGGTTCCCTGGTTGAGAGATAAATATTGGCCAGCATTCCAGCGGGAGCAACCTATGTCTCTTTGAATAGTGCCATGATAATTTGCCTGACCACAGGAGAATCAGTCAAGGCTTTGGTTCAACTTCTTACCCAAAATATGGGTGATACAGAGACCTGGATGTGAGCTTACTGGCAAGCCCAATGTTGACTGCCCATCCCTAATTTCCCTTGGGAAAATGATGCTGAGCTAGCTGCTTGAACCATTGAAGTCCTTGTGAGCTACATACAGCCAAGCATACTTCCCTATAGTGGTTGATATGCTATTCGAGAGGGTTGTTAACAGTCACTCACATTTCCATAAAACTGGAGTAACTTCTAGGCTAGACTGGGAAAGGCTGGCAGATTTTCTCTTCTGGTGTGCATTAGTGAATCAGGTTGTTTTGTGATCATTGCTATTGAAACTAGCATTTTGTTTCAAAGATATTATTTGAATTCTGTCAGCCACTATGGTGAATTTTGAACCCATGTCTCTGGAGCATTTAGTCAGGCCACAGGTTTATGAATCCAGTATTCGCTGGCAAAGGAGAAGAGATGTAAAACACATATCCTTAGCCTTTGCCACCATAATTATTCATACATTTCAGTTTCCATTACTGAGGATGATCTTGTACAACTCATTAGGTGGCAGTGTCATTTGACTTTCAAATATTCAAAAGGACATTGGTTTTAATACTGGAAGGGGGCATGTTCTACAGGACTATGGAGAAACAGCAGGGGACTAGGGTTAATTGGATAGCACTTCCATTGGGTCATTAGACACATGATAGTCCGATGATTTCATGACATGCAATTCTAAGGATTGAGTGTTTATTGCTACAAGAATGCCGAATATTTAACACACAAAAGTTCAGAAATAGAATAATGTTTTTGTTACTTGGAAAGTAAGCTGTGTAGAGATTTGACAAAGTTGTTGATTGGCGACCACAGCCAATGTAGTAATGTTCATCGAGTAGACGCTGTGTGTCATTGTGTCTAAAAACACTGCCTGGGGGTGCTGCCGATCCATGTAGTCTGGGGCGGTCCCAGTTCAGTTCCCGGTCACGCCAAGATAGCTGACCTCGGCCATGGTGTCATGCTTTATGATGCTATTTGCCTCTAGGTTACTTCGCAAACAGTTCAGCCAGCATTACTGTCTAGACTTGTGCGTGAAGATGATGTAACCACAATTTCAAATGTCGCAGCAACTGTACTTTATCGCGAGTTACTGCCACTAGGAGACACTGAGTAAAGCATGTGGAGTTGAGGAACAAAGGGAGGATAAATTTGCAAGGGGTAATGCTTTGATACTTTAGAAATGTTCTCCAGAAAATCTTTTGCAGAGAAACCCCCAGTGATGCCAATTTAGAAAAATGAAGTCGCACAAATCCTCCTGACTTTTGATGAGGTTAATCAATGGGCTAGATGCTGTCTTTCCATTTAAAGAGAACTGCATTTTTACAAATGCATCCAGAGGACCCAAATTGAAGGTAATGAGCAGAAGATCAGAAGTAAGTTGAAGAGTGTTTTAATTTTTTAAAAATAGATGCAACAAGTCGCTGCGATCTGGAATGTCTGAATGGGTGGTCAGAGCAAACTCTGTGTCGAGTTGCAAAAAGGAATCAGATTGTACGTGAAAAGCAAACATTTATAGGACTCATGGAAATTACAGAGTAGTGGGATTAATTAATGACTGTGTTTCACATGCCCAATGGACTGAATGATCTTCTGTACTCTATGGTTCAACAGTTCTATTTTTGTTATGCGCTGTAACCTCATGCAGTTGTTCCCACCATTCCACAAGCAACACCCGTGAATAATCGCTGGGTGCGGATGTTAAAGTTTTTAACCAAGTGACTGTTGGTTCAACTGAAGATTGCCTGTCTGACCAAGTTTTACATTTACTGAACAATACTGGAATGTGGGGAAAAAAAATTTCCACAGTGGGCAGCTGGAATGGATTTATTTATTAAACCCATACAATGGACCGTAGTTGTTAGTGCACATGTTTGTTTATTCCTACAAAAAAGCCTCCTTGCTCTAACTTGCCTGACAATAGGTCTTCTGTAATTAGTGTCCATTGCATATGGTTCCCTTTTTAATAAAGAATTCTTGTGAAATAAATTATAGCACTTGTTTCTCTTTGTTCTTTTGGGTAAAGGTTTTGAACAATAAATACCTGCTTTGGATAGGTCATGGGTATGTACATACTTGCTTCTTAAATTGAAACATAGGAAATAGGAGCAGGAGTAAGCCATTCGTCTTCCAAGCCTGCTTTGTCAGAACTAATCATCCAATTCAGTGCCCTGTCTCCTCTTTCATCCTGTAGTCTTTGATCCTCTTAGCCCCAAAAACTATATCTAATTCCTTCTTGAAAACATTCCATGTTTTGACCTCAACCACTTTCTGTGGTAGAGAATTCCACAGGTTCACCACTCTCTGGCCGAAGAAGTTTCTCCTTGTTTTAGTACTAGCCTGTATCCTTAGATTGTGACCCCCTGGTTGAGGAACCAGGAGGATCTTAATGGTACCAGCCAATGGCAGAGGAACCCAGGTTCACTTCTAATGATCTGACAGTTTTATGGTGAGTGGGACTCACCTTTGGAATTTTGTAGTTGCTTCATGTAAAGGATGACAATTAAGCAAATATATTTTCTTTAAATTTGCTTTGTTGGTCTCTGCTTGACTTGTTTTGAGGCCTACAATCCATTATCTGTTTTCTGTCAGTTTTTCTCACCCCTGTATTCTCTTACTCTGTCTGTCCTTTCCTCCCTTCCTCTTGCCTTCTCCTCCCCCACTTTCTTTCTCTTCTTTCCTCCCTCCTCTTTTTCTCCCTCCCATTCTCTCGCCTCCTTACATTTCTTAGTTTCCCTTCACCTCTCTCCTACTCCCTCCATGTCCCACTGCCTCCTTCCCCTCGATTTCCCCCATTTTTTGTCCTGTCTCCCTCTCATGTTTTACAATCTTTCTTTCTGCATGTTTTTTCTGTCCAAATGAAGATCATGTGCTGTGAAAAGGTTCATCATCAACAGCTGGCAACCTCTTAGGAATTGGCAAGTCATTTGAGTAATAACCAATGGAATTAGATAAATTTGCTATAACCTTACCAGACTGTAGGGCTGCTGTCCAATTAGAGAAAGATGACCAGTGGTGGGTTAACTTGACAGTCACCACGTCTTGGGCAAGGGGAGAGGTCAAGAAGGAGAGCCTTTCATGGTAACCTCAGCCAGTGATGGGAATTGAACCCTTGCTCTTTGCATCACCCTGCATTGCAAGCCAGCTGTTTGGTGGAATTATAACCTAGCAACAACTCCCACTACTTAAGATCTAACATAGCTCATAGTATTTTCCATTCTTTGAATATGCTCAAATCATGAGTAAAGTATGAAGAACCCAGAAGTGAATTTAAAAAAAAAAGGTAGGGTTTCCTTGTCAAGCTTCATTGAGGTGTCTGCCTCTCTTTCAGAATCAACTTAAGACTCAATGCTCAAATACTGTCCTGAAGGACTAGCAGGTAGGGGGAAAGGAAATTAAAAGGAAATCCATTCGACAATGCATCAGAATACTTTTCTGAAGAAATTTCTCAAATTATTAGATTCAGGAACTCCCCATAAACAGCAATTGGTCTCAAAAGTTGTAATGGAAAAACACATATAAGGTAAACAAAGGTGCCCAATCTGACATTGAATAGTAACTCTGTGCATTGTGGTATTTTATCAGTTTCGCACTTTTGATTTTTTTCCAAATGCCAGATATCAGAAAGGTTTAGTCAGAAAGGGGGTGTTGTTGAATTGCATGTGCTCCTTGTAAACTGGTTAAACCCCGACAAATGTGTCTTGTTTTCTTAGGATCGTCTGGAAGTGGGTGGTGTGCAGGTACACAGCACTCGCAGCAGTAATGGCACCAGTCAGTGGCATACCCAGACCTCCGGTGGCAGAGAGAGAGCAACAATAGGTAAGCCCCTGTTGCATTAGAAACAAGTTCATATACCCTGATCAACCGAAATTATGGAGACTGGTTGCATAGACCAAATGTTTGCTTGAGCATATAAGATCAATGGATGATCAAGCTGATGTGTTTCATCTGATTAAGCAATTAGATAATTCTTTTAGTGAGAGGGGCATAACCTTAAAATTAGAACAGTGTTGTTTAGGGGCAATGTCAGGAGGCACTTGTTCACACAGCAGGAAGTGAAAGTCTAAAACGCACATGCCAATTCTTAAAAACTCATTCACTGGGTGTGGACGTCGCTGGCTAGCCAATATTTATTGTCCATCCCTAATTGCCCAGAGGGCGGTTAAGTGTCAACCACATTGCTGTGGGTCTGGAGTCACGTGTAGGCCAGACCAGGTAAGGATGGCAGTTTCCTTCCCTAAAGGGCATTAATGAACCGGATGGGTTTTTTTTATGACTATCGACAATGTTTTCATGGTCATCATTAGACACCTAGTTCCAGTTATTTTATTGAATTCAAATTCCACCAATCTGCCATGGTAGGATTCGAACCCGGGTCACCAGAAATTTACCTGGGTCTCTGGATTAATAGTTTAGCACTAGGCCATCACCTATATCACTATCAACAAAACTTGTTGAACTGCAGAAGTAATTTAAAATTTCAAAACTTGAATGATAGTCTTTTTCATTGGGTAAAACTCTGAAGGATTATGCAGCTGAGGCCAATAGATGAGTTCAGACATGGATCAGCCATGATCTCACTGAATGGACTAATTCTGTTCCTTTACAGCAAGTTTGAGTTACATTAATGCATTCTATAAATAATTTAATGCCTGAATTAAAGAGGAACATTTATAGGTGGTGAAAGCGTACACATTGCAGGCTATTAATTTGCACCTGTGGTTCCATTCACTGCTGAAAACAGCCAGTTGAGGTGAGTAACCTGCCATACAGATTTATAGATATTTCTGGGCTTGGAGATAGGCAGAACGATTCTCGGAAAGACCTATCTTGAAAAACACATACAAGAGGGAGAGTTGAGGGTAAGGTGGGTTACACATAGCAGCTGGGAGGAACATGCTTGATGGACCGTGAGACTGCATATCTTCTGTGGTTTGTTGTAGTTCTTATGTTCCCCTCTTTCCAAACTGTGTCCCTGCCAGCAGATCACTGAAAGAGGAAAAAATGCAAAGAACTATGGAGCTGGAAATCTGAAACAGACAGAAAAGGCTGCAGAAACTCAGCAGGTCTGGCAGCATCTGTGAAGAGGAAGCTGAGTCAGTGTTTCGAGTCCAGTGACCCTTCTTCAGAACTGGATCTAAAGAACAGTCTCTGGACCTGAAACATTAGCCCTGCTTTCTCTCTCCAGTTCTAAAGAAGAGTCACTGGACGCAAAACTTCGTCCAGCTATTACTGAAGGAGAAACTCTTGCCCCAATAAGAAACAATTGCAGGAACAGACCATGTGCACCTCACACCCTCACCACTCAAGCCTATGTCCACCATTCACTAAGATTATGGTTAATCTTCGATCTCTGCTCCACTACCCCACTGGCCGCCATGACCCTTGATTCCTCAAGTCTAAAAATAGCTTTTGATTTCAGCCTTGAATGTGCTATATAGCAAAATAGGTTCACTTTACTTCTCTCCTTTTTTTTAACATACTTTCTTAATATTTTCTGCAAGTTCACTTCCACATTTATTTTCTCCATCTTTACCACCTCTTGGTTTCTAGAACTAAAAGCCCAGGCTTATAACTCTTCTTGGCAAGATTAATCTGACAACAACATTAAATTGTTTCGTTAAGAACAAGTGGAGTTTAATCACGGAGTTTTTATTAGTCAGTGGAATGCACGTTTGTTGAGAATTTTGAAACTTTTAAAAAATGTTTGCCATAAGACAGATGCAAACATATCATTTTGCTGGCAGTAATGCTGGTGTAGGGCCAAACCAGAATAATCTCCCTATGTATTTAGCTTCTCTTTCACCCACTCAACCGACTGCATCCAGACTACCATTCATTTTGAGTTGTGTTATGAATATCAGAAAGCCAAGAAATCCCCAGCTGTGGCGTCTACTTTCTTTTCCTATTCAGCTACATTCTTTGCCACCCTCAATATTGCTGATCTTCATTCCTGTGGTAACTCATGTTCTTAGTACACTCAGGGAAGTATTTAAACAGGCACTGATGGTCTAATGTCTGCTTCAAATACTCCATAAAGGAAAGAGAGAGCCTACATTTATATAGCATTGGCTTGTGTTTTGAGTGTTACCAAAGCGCTTCTCAGTCATTGAGTTAATTTCGTGAAGTATAGTGAATAATGTTGTGTTGGCACAGTACTCCCTTACTAAGAGTACTGTTTTACTAAGCACAAAGCTATGATCATCATCATTTTTCACATCAGAACTGCCACCAGGTTCTAATGCTGCCAGTTATGTCAAATAGAACAGGATATTGATGGGGTACTGTATCAAACCTTGGGTTTTTATGTTTCCTTGAGCACTCCACATTCGTGTTCATGGCGATTTCTCAGCTTTCAGTTGTGTAATAATGTCACCAATCTCTGCCATCCCCAGCTCTCATTCAGTTTAGAACACATTAGTATTTCTGTTGAAGGTCTGTGCCTTGAAGGTGTTCTTTTGAAGGAATCGAGCTTTCCAGGAAAATGGGCATTTTGTTACTCATTTGACATCCACTGTGGCGTTTTTGAGTTAAGACATTTTCAGTCTTTCTGGACACAAGCATCTTAGCTGATGGAATGTGTTTGTATGGCACATGAGTGTAATCACATCCCTGTTGTTTGGTGCGTCTTTATTTGACTGGTGGGAAACTGGTCTTGAATCACTCCTCATTCACCCTCGATGTTTAGAATTTGATGAGCAATATTGTTTCTGGATCTTTCAGTTTCCAGGATATTGTTTTACAGCCTTGTTTTTGTTTACAGCAAATGATGAGGGGGAGGTTGAAATTCCACCTCCGGTTCCACCACATCCTGATGAACAAGAGACCATGGGAGTATACAAAATGTGGTCTTTTCGTGAAGATAAAAGGTTTGTAACCATAAATTAACCCTAGTCATTAAATTTGTAATGTGGGTAAATGTAGCTTGCTGGTGGCACTGATTAAACCACTGCCCATTAATTTGGCTCCTTACCGCTAGGTGAAAGAAAGAAAGTAAGTCTTCTTTCATGTAGCACCTTTCATGATCTCAGGACAACCCAAACCTCTCACAGCTATTAAAGTACTTCAAATGTGGAGTCACTGTTGTAATGTGGGAAATGTAGCATCCAGTTTGTAAACAGTAAGGTTCCACAAACAGTATTGCAATAATAACCAGATCATCTGTCACAGTGATTTTGTTTGAGGAATGAGTAGTGAGCACAAATGCTTAGGAGGAAGCGATTAAAACTTCAACACAGAACTAAAATTATCGATAATTAATGACAGTTTACTCTGGAAGTCAACATTTACTCTTTAACAGGGTAAAATTGAGAAAATGAATAATGGAAATCCCTGGCACATGTGCTATCCAGTTATGTGCCATGTCATTCAATCTGAAGTCTCTGCAGAGGGACTAACGTGCTGTTGTGTTTTTAGAATATTTGTCACTGCTAGATTGTGTGTGTTAATAATTTATGCTGTGAGATTAGCCCTGAGCATCCTTCAAAACATGCCTTTGACTGAATGCCAGACTCATTGCAGAACAATAGTCCAACTCCAATGCCACTGGGCACCATTTGAGTAGCTATTCTATCATTGCCAGGGTTATTAATTGATGACAGCGCATCAGCCAGTCATTTCTTTCATTTTCTCCCTGGAGTGCTATTTGTATCTCTGGGGTGGGACTTGAACTCTCAAACTTCTAATTCAGAGGCAAGATGCCTACCAACTGAGTAATGGCTGACTGTGTGACCATTAATCCACTGAATCAATAAATGCCCAAAACTGTGGCCCATGTTTGCCGTTCTGTCGTTAACTCAATGCGAATATCTGATATGAGGTTGCAGCAGAAACCTATCTTACAGGAAAGGTTTTAATTGTGCTTTACTCTCACTCCCTCCACAGTTCTGACCGCAATTCTGCTTCACAATCGCTGCACCAAAGACCAATGGCTGGAGTTGCGGAATATCAGGCCAGCAACAGTGTGCAGCGGCAGTCTCCTGGCAAAATCAGCGGTTCCAAGAGCATGGACTTGGGTAAGGGCCAAGTATCCAACCTGTCACTCAAAAAGCCAATTAAGCTAAACAGAACACAGAGAAGATAGATTAAAAATAGTTTGCACCCTATTGTTGTTTAACATGCTAAAACTGAGTGGATTATCTATGTCATCTGAACCCCCAGGATTAAATGAAAACCTCATGCTTGCCCTGCCATCTGTAGCTTTTTTGAAATCTATCCTGCGAGTTTGATAAGATGAAAGTAGTGTTGACAATGGTTAAAAGTAACACCAAAGATGTGAGTTGATTGAAGTTTAGCACATATTCCTTTTATATCATGGTGGACTGCGGCCTTTATACAATTTACAGGAAAGTATAACTGGATGGTGACTATTATGTTCCTTTATATTAGAGATTTAATCACACCAGCTTGGCCTAGATCCCTGCATGCTTCCCACTCAGTCTCGTTACCATTAGACTCCATTCTGAAAGGTATCTTTAATGACAATGAGTATTGCAAAGTGACTGCACCAGGCAGCAACAATAACTTGCATTTACAGAGTATCTGTAGCACTGTAAAATGTCCCAAGGACGTTCAGATAAAATTTGACACCATGACGCATAATGAGATATGAGGATGGGTGGTCAAAAGCTTGCTGAAAAAGGCAGCTATTAAATGGGGTCTTAAATCAGCAAGGAGCAATGAAGAGGTTTGAAGGGGAAATCCTAGTGTGTAGGTCTTGGGAAATCAAGTCACAGCTGCCAATGTTGGGGCTTGCGCAAGTGGAATCGACTATACCTTCCGTTTCATGCTCAACCAACCATAATCCAGAATGAATCCTTCCATTATTTGCTAAAGAGCATCAGGTTGGAACCTGTGATACAATGGGTCTACATGCAAATGGGATCAAGGTATCTTTTGGGTGACGGATTTGTTTCCTTTCTTTATTCATTAATGGGATGAGGACGTGGCTGACTAGGCAGCATTTATTGCCCGTCCCTAATTGCCCACAGGGCAGTTCAGAGTCAACCACATTGCTGTGGGCCTTGAGTCACATGTTGGCCAGACCGGGTAAGGATGGCAGTTTCCTTCCCTGAAGGATATTACTAACCAGATGGGTTTTTCCGACCATTGACAATGGATTCATGGTCAACATTAGATTCTTAATTCCAGATATTTTATTGAGTTCAAATTTCACCATCTGCCATGGCAGGATTCAAACCTGGGTCTCCAGTGATAATACCACTAGGCCATTGCCTCCCCTGTTGTTGTGTGCAACTTGCCTGTTGGGAGTCCCATAGAAAACATTAAATCTGTGTTGTGGTATAACACAGGCCTGGAAAGATCCTGGCATGTGTTGCATAGAATAGAATCCCTACCGTGTGAAAACAGGCCATTCGGCCCAATAAGTCCACACCAACCCTCTGAACAGCATCCCACCCAGACTCAACCCCCTACCCTATTCCTGTAACCCTGCATTTCCCCTGGCTAACACACCTAATCTATACCTCCCTGAACACTATGTGCAATTTAGCATGATCAATTCACCTAACTTGCACATCTTTGGACTGTGGGAGGAAACCAGAGCACCTGGTGGAACCCACGTTGACACTGGGAAAATGTGCAAACTCCACACAGACAGTCACCCCAGGGTGGAATTGAACCTGGGTTCCTGGCGCTGTGAGGCAGCAGTGCTAACCACTGAACCACCGTGCCGCTTTGTATGCGCCTAAGCTGTAATTTGGTTGCTGGGTCAAAATGCAGCACCCAGTTGTTTGCAGAGTAGCACAATTTGCCTTTTTTCCTGTTCGTTCTGCCAAACTGAGTTTGGTAGACAAAGGCCCAAATTTTCTGGTCTGTGTCAGAATCCTTTTTCCAATGCTAACCAGACAAAAACAAGAAGGGTCTAGGCCCGAAACGTCAGCTTTCCTGCTCCTCTGATGCTGCTTGGCCTGCTGTGTTCATCCAGCTCTACACCTTGCTGTCCCAGTTCTCTACCCCTGATTTTTATAGCTAGTCTTCTGATGTTGGTGGAGGCTGCGGTATGTGGTTGGGTTGGCATTGTCAAGTCAGGCAGTAGATCAGGTTAGGTAGGGCTACAGGAGGAAGTTAGATGGTGGTGCCTAGTCAAGAGAGGTTGCATTTGAGGATTGCAGAAAATTGCAGAAGGAACGGTCATGGTGGAGTCAGGTCAGGAGTGGAATTGGGCTGTCGGGTTTGGTTCAGTTACAAGGTGATGAGTCTGATGGAGTGATCTAGTCCGGTTGAAGGGGGCAGGGGAGGGTGCGAGTTGCAATTCAGTGAGGCGTTGTCAGTTGTCTAGTCACCAGGAGTTAGCCTAAGATTTTTCTCTCTTAACGTTTCTGGGGTAACTATCCAGGTAAGTCAGTCAAAAGTCTCCAACTTCAACTCAAAGCTGGAGACTTTTTTTCCCCAAAGCTCCTGGGGAATGAGGGAATTGCCCATAGAATTTCCCATGACCTCAGTGTGTCAAGATTTCCCAGAGCCCCCAACACACACATCTGATCGTAAGTTCAGTCTCTGATCTGGACGTGTATGTGAAGTAAAAATTCCTACAGAACCTTGCATGATCAGTGGCATGGAACCTCTCGGAAGCATGCATCCCGTCACGTACGTAAAGTTGCAGTTTAGAAATGGGAGCAAATTTCAGTAATGTGAAATTTTTACAAGGCAGAGGAGGGCGTTGAGAAATTATTGTAGAAAAAAAGCATCAGTGTCATTTGTGGTCTCCCATTGCAGTTTGCTTTGAGCAATGCTGCTTTAACGTTGAGTGACACGTTCCCAGCTTCTTTCCTTTCCAAATGCGGCCACAATCCCTATAATCTGCCGACCCTGATTCCCTGTAATTATTCTTTGAATTCAGAGAGCTCTACTTACTTTAGACGTAATTATAATGGGCAATCTCTGGACTGTACAGAAGCCAAAATCATTGCTTGTGACGCTGATGCAAAAAATTGCTGTATAAAGTGGACATCATGATTGCTTTTAATGGACAAGACTTTTAATGTGCATGTCATCGTTAATCCCTCAAAGAAGTTGGATATTATACTTGTGTGATTCCGTTGTGCAGCATTTATAGTGAAGATGACTTTACCTTGTAGAACCACAGAGTCTACTCTTTCATGTGCTAACTCTTTGGAAGAGCTATAATGTTCGTCATACTTCACTGTTCTTTCCTCATTTGGTGCTGCAATTTTTCCTTTTAAGTATATATTCAATTGCCTTCTCTAAGTTATTGTTAAATCTGCTTCCATCCCTTCCCAGGTCGCATTTTCCAGATTCTTAAAAACTCTTTGCCTGAACAATTTCCACTCATTATTAATGCAGTGTCCTGAATTTCTTGTTAATTGTCTAAAGTGTGTGCCTGCTGGTGAGTCATGCTCCTGTCTGTCGAAGCAGTTTCTCCCTGTCTTCTGAATCAAAATCTGATTGAACCTTTTTCTGCTGTAAGGAAAACCATCCTGAGAAGAGGCAGTTTTTTTTTCAATAATGTATATCTGTTTGTGTTGCTAACAAAACTAAATTGTCCCAAAACAGCTTTATTATGTGTGACAAAGGTGGGTTCCTGTTGGTAAATATGTACAATCCAGAATATTTACTCAGCAATAATGAAGAAACAGAAAATAGGCACAATTCAGGATGTTGTAAATGAAAGAATGGCCTGAACAGGCTGAGTGGCCTGGTCTTGTGTTCCCTCTCCCCGGGACAAAGCACACTTTTCGGAAAACTGAAGCGTCGCAGGGAAAGGTTGGGTGTGGGAGAGAGTTCAATCACAAACTGAATTTTGCTTTTAATTTGATGCAGAATGTCTTGCAAGGAGAGGCATGAGCAGCTGAGCAACTGCATTGCAGCCAGAATATCTGTCACAGGTTGCTTTCCGTTTTGACTTCCCTGCGTGGAACAGTTAAATCCAATAGGTCAGGTGCATTCCTTTGTAAGTTCAAGTGTCTGGTCAGATACCATGAGGCTGTAGTTTGGATAATGGCTGTAAGTCATTAGGGCAGCACTCTCCAGATGAACTCTTACAGTCGGACATTGATTTATGACCCACTGCTTTCTCTTAATCATTTCTTTCAAGTGCATGTCTAGCTGAGAGTAAGAAAAGACAATATCTCCTTGCATAAAACCTGGACAAGCAGTTCACTCGATATGCCATGTCCAATTTGACTTAGAAATGCTTGCGCAGGTACTAAATGCACACTGTAGTGTTTAGAAAGGGACAATGCAATGATGATTTTATTTTTTGTTTGCCTGCATATTGGCGCCTGGAACCTCAGAGGTGCCAGTGACAGTGGGAAATTATAAATATTGCACATTTTAAAGTATAGAAACGGTGGTGATAAATATCAAAATTCAGCCCTTGATGAGAAAGAATCCAGTACAATTAATGGTCACACGGGGTTGCTCATGCTGAATGTGGAGGTTGCATGTTGGCGAAGTCTGGGGGATTAATTTTAATCAAACTCACTGGGTTGGAAGTCTCAGTTGTTGGTTTTGTCCCCTGCACAATATTGCTCTCCAATGATTTCAACACAAAAGCAACTCAGATGGAGTATAAAGCTTTCAGTTTCTAATGGGAAGGTTTGATTAAAATTTCCCCCATTCTGTCTCTTTATTTTTTGTTCCTGATGTGTATTTTTCTCTGCACACTGCTTTTTGTGAATCTTGTCCAAATGGATAGGCCATTCAATGTCAACTTGGGACAGCATGGTGGCTCAGTGGTTAGCACTGCTGCCTCACAGCACCAGGGAACTGGGTTTGATTCTACCCTTGGGCTGTGTGGAGTTTGCACATTCTCCCCGTGTCTTGCGTGGATTTTCCTCCGGGTGCTCTGGTTTCCTCCCACAGTCCAAAGATGTGCAGGTTAGGTGGATCGGCCATGCTAAATTGCCCATAGTGCTCAGGGAGGTGTGGATTACGTGGGTTATAGGGGGGATGGGTCTGGGTGGAATGCTCTGAGTCACCGTGTCAGGTTCACTAGGTTGATTCCGGAGTTGAAGAGGTTGGTTTATGAGGAGAGACTGAGTAGATTGGGATTATATTCATTGGAATTCAGAAGGTTGAGGGGGGATCTTATAGAAACATATAAAATTATGAAGGGAATAGATAAGATAGAAGTAGAGAGGATGTTTCCACTGGCAGGTGAAGCTAGGACAAGAGGGCATAGCCTCAAGATTAGAGGGAGCAGATTTAGGACTGAATTGAGAAGGAATTTCTTCACCCAGAGGGTTGTTAATCTATGGAATTCCTTGCCCAGTGAAGTAGTTGACACTACTTCAGTAAACGTTTCTAAAAAAAAGGTAGATTTTTTTTGAACAATAAAGGAATTAAGGGATACGGTGAGAACGCGGGTAAGTGGATCTGAGTCCACGAAAAGATCAGCCATGATCTTATTGAATGGCGGAGCAGGCTCGAAGGGCCAGATGGCCTACTCCTGCTCCTAGTTCTTACGTGAACTTGTTGGGCTGAAGGGCATGTTTCCATGCTGTAGGGATTTTATGAAATCTATGAAACTGTTCAGGATTCTGCTCAGTATCTTCCCTGTGAAAGAGACTAATTTGGGTGCAAGAAATCTTCCAGACACTTTCTTCTACACTTTCTTCTACACTTTCTCTCTCTCTCTCTCTCTTTCTCTCTCTCTCTCTCTCTCTCTCTCTCTCTCACACACATGCACACGCACATGCACACACACACACACCTCTCACGTTCTATAACGTCACGACTGATCTGTTAACTTATGCTCTGTATTCCTTCATATCATCACCTTGTTAATCACGATTCAGTACACCTCTGCCTTCAAATATTTGACGATTCTCCGTCCATTGCTTTTTGAGGAAGGGAATTCCAAAGAGACACAACCATCAGAGAGAAAAAAAAAGTTTCCTCATCTCTGTTTTAAATGGGTGACCCCTCGTTCTACTCTCCATCAGTAAGGAAACATCCTTTCTATATTCACCCAGTCAAGGCCCCTTAGGGTTTTATATGTTTCAATTAAATCACCTCTGACTCTTCTAAACACCAGAAGTTCATTATCAGATAATATTTGACAGACATCTACAGAGGGAGTTTTCGGGCAGGTCATCAAAGCTCACTGAAGGAGGTAAGCAAAGAGCGAAAGAATCTTACAACTTGACTTCCTGAACTTCAGCCGAGGCAGCTGAAGGCAAGTCTGTGAATGACGGTGATAAAGGGGAACATGCAAGAATCCAAATTGGAGAGAGACAGACCTCAGAGGGTTGTGGGGCTGAGGAAGTCAGAGATGGGGAAGGCAACAGAGGGATTTAAGTGTGAGACGATAATTTTAAAATTGAGTCTTTTCGACTGAGAGCTAGCATAGGTAACCAAATACAGCGTGGTGAGCAAGATTGGGTGTGTGTTAAAAAATGTACAGCAGAGTTTTAGATGAGCTTAGGCATACAGAGAGTAGAGGGACACCTATTCCTATGAGAGTTCACAAATAACCCCAGCACATTGCAGATTTTAAATTTTCTATTCAGTAATCAGCAATATGTTTTAAAAGAATCAAATACTTCCCACAGTGCTGGATACACCATTTGGTTAATGTTGTCTACATGTGGCTAAGTACTGGATAAAGTTATGTTTTAATATTCCATATCAGTTTGTTTGGTTATAAGTATTTCCTGGAACAGGAACAACCCTAATCTGTTTGATTTCTGGTTTATAAACCAGCTTTATGGCATGTAGAAATGTCGATTTACAGCAAACGTGAAATAAAGGTTCATTTGCTCACCTTGTTCCAGATAGTGCCTAATTAATTTATCCCTGGTTAAAGATTTTCTTGGGTTATGGTTCAGTCGAGGATTAGCCATAGGGGTTACAAGTAATCATTGGGAGACAGACAATCTTGTTGAACACGAGGGGAAATCTGAGGAGGTCAGTGCAGCCTCTGAAGTCTGACTTTGTTGACAACAATTCAACTGCCCTGTTTGCCTTGCCTGTTAATCCCCTCTGCAACCCCACCTATTGACTCTCCAGCCATGTCTAAATACTACATCAATACATCATCGACAATTGTACAAATCACGATGTTAAGGATTGAGGAGGGAAAGTAATGAAGGAGGAATTCCCAGTTGTATCATCAACTAATAGTTGCTTCCTTGCTTCCAAATAATATGAGGCCAAGACTGTTGTTCAGCCACCAGTGAACTCTACTGAATGCTTCAAAATTGTCTGAATTTACTGACAAGGAACATTTTGGTCTGTGCTGATCAAGCTGTTTCAGTTGGCATTGTGTTCTATTGTCAGGCAATGGTGAAGACAGTTCAGTTTGTTAATGTGATCCCTATTCTATGAGAGTTCCACCTCTGCCCCACTCCCCTTGCTAAGGTGGAGGGAAGAAAATGTCAGAATAATTCCGATGATGTGTTCATGGCCAAGAATCACTGCCTTGCATGAAGACTTGCATGCTTTAAATAATGCATCCTGATCTGACCCTGTATGACAGAAAGGATGTAGAGACACTGGAGAAGGTGCAAAAGAGATTAACTGTGAAAGGCTACAACTATCAGGAAAGTCTGAACTGGGCTCTGTACAATGGACAAGAAAAGGAGCCTTCAAAGGGTGAAGAAGGGTCTAGACCCGAAATGTCAGCTTTCCTGCTCCTCTGATGCTACTTGGCCTGCTGTGTTCATCCAGCTCTACACCTTGTTATTTCAAAGTGTGAAAGTTTTGATAGGGCAGGGTGTAGAAAAGATGTTGTCACTCTGCAGGAATCCAAAACTCGGAGTCACAAAAATGTAAGAAAGCCACAATAAATCCATCATGGTCTTCAGGAGAAACTTAGTGATCCAGAGGTTGTTTGGATTGTGGAAACTCTTGACCAAATGGAATAGTTGAGCCAGATAGCATAGATACTTTTAATGAGAGTCTGGAAAAGTAGGGAAGATAGAAATGAATAGAAGGGTCGGCTGACAGGGCTAGATAAATAAGGAGAAACAGGTGGAGCTTAAACACTGAAATGATCCAATTTCTATGCTGCAAGTTCTATGTAACTCTGCAAGGGATGGAAGACAAAAACAAAGTAACTTGGGTGACTGTAGGTGATTTTATCAGTCTGTGTGTGGTTCATGAAAGCAGTGTGTAGTTTTAAACCTTCCTGGCGCCCCCCTGACAGCAGCTGCTTGAGTGTTGTGTTGCGACTGCAAAATACAATTTCGCATTTAACAACGTTAAATAACACTGCATCAAAGTGAAAATATAATCTGTGGACACTGAATAATTCATGGTGTTACCTGTTACTTGTTCTGATTAGCATAAATCACTGAATTTGTTTGTTTGCATTAATATTTAAGAATGTATGCTGCGTTAAAACGTAAAAAAGCTGAGCATTGTTTGCCCTAAAGACTCAGGTTAGTAGATGACGGGGTGCATCTGGTGACTAGTTGACCCATTGGTCTTCCGTTGCAAGTGTGAAAGTGGTCAGATGATTACAAAGCTGACTGCTTTATAATAGATGGTGTGAGGGTAACTATGACAAGCCACTTTCCAGTGTCGCATTTTGAATGCTTGTCTTGCTTTGGAAGGAGTCAGAAAGAGAAAAATCTGAGTGGCAAATTTGGTAGGCGCTCACAGGCAATATGTAAGGAGCTCTGACAAAAGAAGTGACGATTGGATTAATGATGAACTAGAGTTGAGTTCTTTATTCATTCAGGGGATGAGGGCATTGCTGGCTAGGCCAGCATTTATTGCCCATCCCTAATTGCCCAGAGGGCTGTTCAGAGTCAACCACATTGCTGTGGGTCTGGAGTCACATGTAGGCCAGACCAGGTAAGGACATTAATGAACCAGGTGGGTTTTTCCTGACAATCGACAATGGATTCATGGTCATCATTAGACTCTTATCCCACCACGGCAGATGGTGGAATTTCGAACCCATGTCCACGACATTACCTAGGTCTGCTGGATTAACAGTCCAGTGATTATACCACCAGGCCATTGAGCTGGTAGAAGTGGAACTTGAAGACAAGGGGCAATTAACATGGAGGGACTGTCATGGAATGTGGAAAGAAAGACTTATATTTATCAAGCACAGTCTCAGGAAAGTCCAACACTTCTTTTTTTGCATTTTTGTTAAAATGGCGTTGAAGTGTAGCCAACTGGGCAACATAGCAGCCAAATTATGCACAGCAATGCCCACAAACTGCAATGTGATAGTGATGTGCTCTGAAAGACAGCACCTCCAACAGTGCAGTACTCCTTCAGTACTGCAGTGGAGGGTCAGCTTACATTTTGTGCTGGAGCGACTGGAATAGCGCTTGAACACACAGTGTTCTTACTCTGAGACATGAGTGGTACCAACTGAGCTTAAGGGAAAAGGAGAACTTATTCTGGGGAGATTTTAAACATGTCCTTTCTTTGTGTGTTCCAGTGGCAGATGAAGGCAATGTTGGATCTCTGGCAATGCATCAATCCGGTAAGACGTTGGGAAGTTTTTCTTTGCAGTAATTTATTCCCAATGGCTCAATGTTTGGTCAAAGTCTGATTTGTTGTGCTTCTTCAATTTTTTTTTAACTTTTATAAAATATTCCTGTTTTCCATAAGATCTGGTACAGAATTCAAACCTGCAGTCGGATTTACTTCCTTTAATATTGGGGTATTTAATCATATGGTGTGAAATTTGGAACATTAATTATTCTTTTGAATGCTCAACTTCATGACCTTTATGACCCCACAGTCTAGCTAACATCCCGTTTTAACCTCGCTCAGCTTATCACATTTTAAGCAGCAGCGCTGCTATTTGAAGGGATCACCAATCAATACATCATCAACAGTTGCTCGTTGATCTTATATGATTGTTACCTTGCTATGAGGTGGCAGATGCTCAAGATTTTTGTTGACCTTAAGTTCTCGACACAGACCTGTGTGATTGTAGCCATTCTCCTTGGAACACAGCATGACACGTAGAATGTATTTGATTGATTTGCTTTATTGTAGCTGTGTGTACCTAAGCACATTGAAAAGCATTGTCTTGCGAGCAGTGCAGGCAGATCATAGCAAACAAGATCATACAGTCTTGTATGCAAACAAGCATACAGATCATAGGGTGCCTAGATAGTGCGAGGCATACAGGTTACACAGCACGGGAGGTGCACAGAGCAAGATCAACATTAGCAAGGTCGATATTATTTGAAGTTAGAGAGGTCCATTCGTCAGTCTAATAACGGCAGGGAATAAGCTGCTCTTGAACTTGATGGTGCGTGTGTTCAAGCTTCTGTATCTTCTGCCTGATGGAAGAGGTTGTAGGAGAGTGTTTCCGGGTGGGAGGGGTCTTGGATGATGTTGGCAGCCTTTCCACAGCAACGAGAAGCCTAAATGGAGTCCATGGATGGGAGTTTGGCTTCAGTGATGGTCTGGGCTGTGCTCCCAACCTTCTGTAGTTTCTTACGGTGCTGGGCAGAGCAGTTGCTGCACCAGGCCATTATGCACCCGGATAGTATGCTTTCTATGGTGCATCTGTAAAAGTTGTTGAGGGTTCTTATAGACATGCTGAATTTCCTAAGCTGTCTGAGGAAGAAGTGCTTTAACAGAGGCCACCTGGAGCAGGGCAAGTTTCCTGAAGAGGGAACAAGATGTCGAGGACTTAGCCAGCACACGTAGGCTGACTATTGCCGTGCAATTTCGGGCCGTGATGTTGAGTCCAGTTGGGGATCTCAAGCCTGTACTTGCCAGCTGTCGAACTGGCTAGTGGGTGGCCTCCTAGTTGGCCATCTCTGGGCTTACCGTCAAATAAAGGATGGTGGATGGGACATGGGCACTGGCAACGCTGAAGCCTCGGCCATGTTGAAAAATGTGGGTGCTCCTGAGGCAGGTCATCAGTTGAGTGTGTGCCTGGGATAGATATGTAAACAATTGCAAATGAACAGCACCAAACAGGCCTATCCCTTCTGGATAATCCATTGGGAACACTCGTTCTGCTTGGAGATTCCAGCGTTGATGGCTACCATCAGCAGACTGCCAGTGAGCCAGGAAAGTGTCTCGTATCGGACAGGGCCTTCAATTATTTAAGCTGTATTTGGTAGGTGGTACAGTGCGAGAGGTGAAGTCACTGGGAGACATTGCTGTCAACCGGTCTGCATCAGGGAGCTGATTCAATGCGAAAGACTGCAATTTTCCCAATTTTCCTGCCACCTCAGGACTGGGAAACTTCTACCCAATGTTTCTGACATCTATGCTTCAGGAAGGATATTCCCACTAAAATCGGCCACACGTGGCAGCCACAACCTCAGAGCAGGGAGGGAACAGCATTGTTGATGTTTGTGAAGGTGTCTGCAACAACGACTGCAACAGGTGAAGGTCTCTGCAACAATGCATCCTGTTTCTTCTAGGCTGGGATTGGAGATATTTCCGCAATCTCACAGTTTGGCCAATTACTGATGCGTAACGGAGGTGACTGACACTCCCCATTCAGTGAGAGCTCATTACGTTTCACGCTCCCATGCCAGGGGGAGATAGGTGGAATGAGATTTTGGTTTCGTAAGGATTCCCATGGTGCAGTGACATTGACCAACTTGCACATCCCTTTGCAGGTGCCGCATGGCAAATCATTTTCTACTGCAACCAGTCGGAATTTCGATCCTTTTATATTCAGCTAGGATGTGCCAAAGGCAGAGAATCATGAAGGCCAATACTTGTGATCCTCCAGTAATCATTGTGCTTTGATTCCACAGGAGTCTTTATGTCAGCTGCGTTTGAGCCAGTACAACACAACAAAGGGAGTACTACAGGGTAGTAATGCCGATCCCTGAATACATGGCTGATGGCTTGGGTGTGTATCTACACACATGCGCACTGCATGCAATGTGGTGGCTGCATGAAAATGTGAGCGCTTAGATGCAACCTCCCCATCATGAGGGGACAGTACCAGTCACCAGCTATATGGCAAGAAGCTTAGATCAGGAGGAGGGATATGAGGAGGAAATTTAAACAGCCTGTTTTTCTAGCTAGTTCTCAATCCTAGTGACCTAGTGAAATGAGCAGTGTGTGACGCAGTGTGGTGCTGTTCGTAATATGTGGCCTTTGATGATAAATGAATTGATCTAATCCACCAATGTAAGCTTACTTGACTCTGCATCCAGGTCCTTGGGGTTTTATTTCTGGCATTGTCATTCATCCCTACACAAACGCATTGCTTCCTGAGCATGTACCGAGAGAGCCTCCAGGTGAATATTAGACATTTTCCTTGCTTTGTACCTTCTTCACTGTGGCTCTAGTGTGGTCTCTTTTGAGGGGATCGCAATGCAAGAGCGAAAAAGGGTACATCTTTTATAATTGATTTTGGAGTACTAAAAGCATCCGTTTGCAGACCTAAAGGAAAGACATCTATTTGTGTAGCACCTTTCACAATCATCAGCCATCCCAAAGTGCTTTATGACTAATGAAGAGTGTCGTCACTGTTGTATTGTGGACGTCATGGTATTAGGTCTTTTTGTGGCATAATTGCTGATTCTTTTTGAACCCCTGTCAATGGATATTCTCTTAGGGCTAAAATCTTTGTGTCCAACTTGTTTGTTAATAGAAACTGTATCAGTCCAACCATCCAAAGATTAACCAACAGATTAATCAGTGAGAGGATAACCCAATGACTTACCTTGTATTTTGCTGTAGGGGTAAAACAAAATGATTCATTTCATTCTAGATAATTCCCCTCCCTGCTATGTTCCTCGAGGAAATAGAAAATCGTTAGCAGAGATATAAAATCTCTGCAGTAGAATAAACTTCCCATTGAGATCGACAGGGGGATAAAGCATCTGAGGTTTTGGAGCAGTCTGTTTTAGGAACTGATCCTGCCACAAGCTCCCCATTGTGGCAGTAATATCCATTTAATAGCGCATCATGTTGCGATCCATATTCCCCATTCTCATCCGTGCACAGCGTAATCTATCAAAGGGACATCACTGTCCCTGTAACTTTATTAGGCAAGTTTTTTTTTTGTTCTTAATATATTTATGAGTGCACATCATATTGTGTTGCTTGTGGGTGATGCCAAAATAGTACTTGACTTCCAAAACAGACCGATCAAAGTCCCCCACTGAAAAACATGGTGATATTCTTGTAATTATTAGCTCTTGGCTTGAGTTTATCCAGCAGAAGTATTCTAACTTGACCTTGTCCTGCTTTACAAATAATAAAATTCTCTTTGCCAAGCAGATTTATAGTGTTTCATACTTGATACAGATTTCTTTATATGTAAAGCTGATAAACACCTAATTTATTCGCAAAGTTAGTGTCCTAATCGGCTGGTTTTTTTTAGAGTGGGACCTCTCGTAGTGATCCACTTTTAGTTAGGCTTTTCTCTGCACTTTTAACCCCACAAATTTTTGGGGAGCCAGACTGCTAATGATGCTGTCCAGGCAACATTTGTGACTTAATTAACTGAGAGGACCAACAATACCAAAAACAGAAATTGTTGGAAAATTTCAGCAGGTCTGGCAGCATCTGAGGAAGGGTCACTCGACCCAAAACGTTAACTCTGATTTCTCTCCACAGATGCTACCAGACCTGCTGAGCTTTTACAGCAATTTCTGTTTTAGTCTCTGACTTACAGCATCTGCCGTTCTTACAATTTTTTTTAAATTTAGGACCAACAGTACATTGCTTAAAGAAATGCAGTTTATAGTTTGAGTGATGGGGAAGGAAATAAGTTGAGTTTGAATCAAACTGCATACAGACAAGGAAAGGTTGTATTAAAAGAGAGAGGAGACTGGAAAGAAAGCCAAAAAGAAAGACCTATTTAAAAACTCTCTACGAACAAGTTAATACCTAATGGAATGAGACTGTGCAGTTTAAATTGTTCACTTTTCAGTCAAGAGAGAGATTCATCGATCTTGCATTACTCATTAACAAATCATTAGAAAGGTCTCTCAAACTATTAATTATTGCACCTAAATTTCTGTGGCAAGTTTGCGATTAATGTTCAAACTCTCCACGTTCATAAAAGTAATGGTTTTTCCAAGGCCAAGTTGCCACTGAATGACACAAACAGCAAAATCAACCAACATGTTCTGATTTTCACCGCCTCAAGTTGTTTGACAATTTGCAAATTAGTAACAGGGCAGGCTGATACTTTTACAGCAAGATCCCACACAAACAGTGCCTGATAAGTATTCTGTTCTGTGAAGTTCTTGAATATTCAGTTGCAAGGTGAATAAAAACCACAGAAACCAGGAATCCATTAACAAGCCCTAGCCTATGTAAATTGGTGGATCAACAGCATGAGGTTGGGCGTGGATCAGGTGGTAGAATGATGTACATGAATTATAATCAGAACTGAGAGGATGTAATAGTCAGTAAAGATTGAACAGGCAGGTGCTCTCTTTGTTGGAAGGAGAAGGCTGAGGAGCTCACCTGAAAGAGATTCTCAAAATGAGGAAGGAAGAACAGATGGTTCCACTGTGGAGGAAACTAAAACAAGGG